CCTCCCTGGAGACAAAGTTAGCAGTGTCTAATTTATCCTTCCAAAGATATTTAATGTATATACAAGAATGTGTGCACACACCATTTGGGCTTCTCCCACCCCATTTTAAACAATGGTAACATAGCTCACACACTATTTTGCACATAGCTTTTTACACTTTAACAGTATATCAATGCATAACCTTTTTTTTTATCCTTTTTTGTACCAAATGGTATTCCATTGTATAGATGTATCATCTGTTTTTAACCAGTTCCTTATTAGTAGGCAATAGATTTCTTCCAATTATTTGCTGTTTTAAAAAATGTTGGAATGAATAACCTTGAGATGCATAATTTCATAAATATGTACAGATAATTATACCTGTAGAATAAATTCTTAGATGTCAAAAGCCATGCTCTTTCCACTATGCCATGCTACCTCAGGATTCTAAGAAACAACTCACAGCCAGACTCATAATGATTTATATTTATTTTATTTAAAAACTTTACCTAAATAAAAAATAATAAATTGTTTTTCAGAATATGCTTAAGGACCAAAATAGTCTGAGAGATGGTTTTAAGCCAAAGTACAATGACTTCAAAATCAGTGGCATAAACGTCATGCTGGCTCTCACTTCCCCTCAGAAGGTATCCGTCCCCGAGGACTCTGTGTCCCCTTGCTTCGTGCTCACCATCTGAGGGCAATCCTCGACATTCACTGAGGGCAGTGTCACGGACATCTTGGCAGGTGACGTCTGAGAAGTGAAGAATGGTACTGCTTTACCACCTGCACAAAGAAGAAACTCATTCAGCTAAACAAGCAAATCCTGAGTATTTATCAGCACCGCACTCTCCCAAGTGAGCCACAGGCCGGCCCCTAAATCCTGAGTATTTATGTGCTTTACACTCTTCTAAATAAGGTGGGGGAATCGATACAAGGATTGTATATGAGGAAATATCTGGATTTACCATAGATATAAAAATAATAAACATTAAAAATAAATTACCAACAATCCTAAAGACAACTCTGAGCCAAGAGTCATAGTAATTATTCTAAGACCCCGTTATGTTTTTCAAGTAGTTTCCACAATAATAAAGTGGAATTTTCCATTACATTTTTATAGGGGCCACAGTAAAAGTAGACAGTTCTGGAGATTTCAATGATGACTCAATACTAGCTGTTGCAAGATGATCAGAATACTTGTAAGAGGCAAATTCCTTTCATATTTGGAAGTCTAATAAAGAATATTATAAATATTATAGTATTTAAGGAGAAATCCAATCTTAAGTCAATTTAAT